AGCTGTATCCTCCCTGATGATGTCCTGGTGTTGTCCCTCTTCCCACTGCAAACCCTCATCATTTATGTGCAGAGTTTCTTTGAAAGGTGCGGGCACCCTCCTGAATTTACCAGGCTGATTTTTGACAGTGACCAAAGGATTGTGAATTCAAGAGCAGGCATATTCCCAAGGACTGAAAGTATCTGTAGCCATAGCCAACCTTTAATTAACTCAGGGGTTGTTATTTTGTTTTATTTTGTCCTCCTCCTTAATGAGTTAACGTAGTTCTTTCTCAGCAGAAAGAAATCCCTGTGTGGTTTTGGGCTCCCTTTAAAGCCTTGGAAAGGGCAACTCAGGGAGTTGGAATTGGTAACAAAATACCAGATGGTTGGCAAGCATTGGCCACAGCTGAGCCTGGTTTTAGGGCATGATGAGACCATTTCAACTTTTAAAACCTACGTACCCACAGCACAGTGATGTTTCTGGTTGCCTTTGCAGGTCAATTTTTAGGACTTTCAGCTAAGTCCCACCTGAGCTCACTTTCTGTTATTCCAGATATTGTCCTCAGCTTCCATATCTGTTTTTTTTCTCCCCCATTTCTGCATCTTGTCGATTCTTCCTTCCCTGCTCTTTCCCCTTCTCATATTTCTGCTGCTGCCTGCCTACTGCTTTCGACCCCATCTCTCTCACCATTTGCTATAGTTGTCATTTAATCTGCTAGGGGTGACATTGTCACTAATGCCTGAAAACTGTGACTCGGGATCATATTCCTGGAGCCCTCCTGTCTCTTTGTGCATCCTGGCCGGGTCTTTGCATTGGATATCCCTAATAGCAGCATCACATCTAACAAGTGGTTATTTGGACTGGGGATGGCTTTTGCGTTCTAGCTCCAAAAAGACCTTTTTAATGCTGGTAGAGGCAACCATTGGTCTTCCCATTACTGAACAATGTCTGAGCTGTTCCTATGTTTTGAGAAAACCTAGCTAGTTTGGGATGGCTCTTCTGGGCTTTCCTGCTCCTGGTTTCCATCTAGAATGGAGGAGGAAGGGAAGATGCCATCAGCATCACAGTACTTCTGATGATTCTGGGTGAGATCCAGCCGCCACTTCCATGCATCTCTTGCAGGAGCAGCCTGAACCCACCCTCGGCCAAGGACCAGCTCTAGGGCAGGAGAGCATTCCAAGGTAGGTCCGTTGGGCCGCTTTGCCACTTCCACATTCTTCGTGTGATCTTAAAACCAGAAAAATGTGGTAGTGGGGGGACCAAAGCCTGGGAAACGGGCGTTTCTCCCTCTTGCAGACCTTTCAGATCTGGGCAGAGATACGAAACTAAACTCAACTAATCCTCTCTGCGTCTCAGACTCAGGGGCTTTCATGTCCGGTGGAGAAGCCTCTAATATTAAAGACCTTCTGGGGAAGGAGCTGATCCTGAAACCTTGCAGGACTCCTGAGTCATGGATTCCTCGGCACCACACTCTCTCCCTAGTGAGACTGGGGCAGCTGAGCTTGTTCTGCAGAACTATTTACCCTAATGAGTTGGGTGGAAGTTGTGCAATGTTAGCTTTAGAAGTGCAGGGAAAAAGTGGTCCAGCTCCAAGCTTGTTGCTTCCCCCATGCTGATGCTGCTCCTGCGGCAGGAGTCCCGGGCATCCTGGGGAAGGAAACTGCGGAGCCAGGGCAGGGCAGTGGGGAAAACTAGCAGCACCCCATGACTTATTTGACCACAACTTTGCTTTGGGGCTATCCTGAGCCCTGCATTGCACTGAAGTCCCAAATTCCCCTTTCTGGGAATCCTCTCTGTGGGATGCTTTGATTAAAAGCATGACCAACCTCACTTTGGGGTGAGAAACTCAACTGGTCCCAGGCTTTCCTTCCAGGTAGTATCAGATGAGCTGATGGTACTTTGAAACTGGACCCTTTAAATCCTCCTTAGGCTCTGACCAAAGGTTTTGCAACTGGACCTCTGGTCCAGCAGAGCTTGCCTGACCCCGCCTTGCCTTGTGACCCTGCCTGATTTCCTGAAGATGCCACCATGGCCTTGGTCCTGTAGAGATTTTGGCCTTTTTTTACCACTTGTTGCCCATCTTTCTATTTTTTTCCCTTGAGACTTTCATGGTCCTGCTCTTTTGAGCTTTGTTATCCCTAAATCCACAATCTGGGGCCACCACGTTGCTGTGGCAGATGGGTCAGGTCTCTGCTGCTTTGAGAGCTCTCTATCAGCCGCAGCAGCCACAATGGTGCCAACCTGGAATACAAATATCTCAGTGCTTTATTGATACTTTTGATGTTGATGCTTTGCGTTCTCGGCTTACATGTGCACGGGAGGCGAATGTGGCTAAAAGCAGCTGTGCTGTTCACTGCAGGTCAGAGCTTGAGCCCTGGAAAGCAGGAAAGACAGTGGGACAGAGGAGACCGAGAGTTGGGGTAGGAAACTTCCTGACAAGGACTGTGGTGGTGGCTCCTTTCTGTGCATTGAAACTCTTGGATCATCTTTCCCAACTGAAAATCCTCAAATATTTCTTCCTTTTCTTTTCCCTTCTGTTTCAGAAGGTGTCAAGGCAGCAGGATGTGTTACAGGAGGTGGCATCTGTCAATGGAGAGCTGGTGGGTTTGGGAGAGACCATCCAGGATGAAGCAGATCAGAATGTGGAGAAGAGAAGGAGAGCAGAGAAAGAGCCACATGCTCAAGACCTGAAGAGGAAATGGGAAGGAAATGGAGAAAAACAAGAACAAAGGAAGCGGCAGAAGAGGGGACTGATGGAGAAAGATGCTGGGGAAGAGGATGAGTTGGAGGAAGGGGACCTGGGGACACGAGAAAAGGAGCAGATTGCTAAGAAAGGAAGGAATAAAGACCTGAAGAGGAAACAGGGAGGAAATGGAGAAAAACAAGAACAAAGGAAGCAGCAGAAGAGGGGACTGATGGAGGAGGATGCTGGGGAAGAGGATGAGTTGGAGGAAGGGGACCTGGGGACACGAGGAGAGGAGCAGTGTGGTGGGAAAGGAAAAAATGGGCAATTGGAACAGGGAAAAGACAGGAAGAAAACCAGGAGCACCAACCGAATTCCAGAAAGGGGCGGTGGAGCTGGTGGTGGTGGGAAAAGGGCTAGGAAAGAGGATGGAGTGAGAGGGAAGGGGGACGGATGGGGGAAGCAAGATGGGACTCGCCAGAGTAAGGGGACAAAGGCACAGACAAGCCGGGATAAGAAAAAAACAGTGAAAGTGAAGGCAGAGAAGAGCGAAAAGGTGAAATCGGAGTCGGGAAAGAGCAGGGAGAAGAAGGAAAAGGCGGGAAGGAAGAAAATTAAGAAAGAAAAGGTTTCAGAAGTAGAAAAGACAGATGAGGAACAGGAGAAACAAGAGGGACTAGGAGGAAGCGAGGGGCAGGTTGGAGAAGGGAAGGAGAGCAGAGACAAAAAGGGAATCAAGCAGGAGGGGGAGGAGGGTGAGCAAGGGGGTGAAGATATGGGAATGAAATGGAAAATGGAGCTTGAGCAGGAGACGAAAGACGAGGCTGATGAGGGGGCAGAAGTGCCAAAGAAGGGCAAAAAGGGGCAAACCAAAGCAAAAAAAACAAAGGAGGAAACAAAAGAGAAAGGGAAAAAGAACAAAGAGAAGAGCAAGGAGACAGGGACCCCGAAGAAGACCCAGAAAAGGAAATCCAAGGAAGAGGGGGAAGAGAAGAACAGCAAAAAACCTAAAAAGGAGAAAAAAGAGAAAGAAATAAAGGAAGCAGAGACAGGAAATAAATGGAAGTGGTAAGTGCTCTGTGTTTTGTGGCAGTTTTTGGCCTCTAGGTAGGTTGAATTTCAATGCCTATGGAATTGTAGTTTTATTTCTGGTCAAACTCTGGAAAAAAATGTGTGGTGTTTTTTTGTTTGTCCTTTTGTGTTTCCCTGAGTATGAGAGGGTGATGAATTTTTACAGCAATTTTTGCATGCCGTAGGAAAGGTTTTTGGGGTCAAGAGATGTGGGAAAAGGTAGCTTCAAAAATGGAAGGATGCTCCCCTGCTGTTAGCAATCCCTTGTGGCACTACTTTTACCCCAAAAATGTGCTTGGGACTATGTTTCCCAGAAGGCTTTGGGGTGGAGGGAGGGAGTTCTGCATCCTGGACCACTCGGAATGTGAATGTGCCGGGGATGGAGGATGCTCGGCGGGCTCACTGCATTGCCCTAATGCTTCGTGAGTGCCCATCTGTCTGGGCTGACCCATGCACAGATGGGTCTTGGTGCTGGAATGCGGGACCCTCAATGCCCTACTCGGTCCCTAGGTCCACTCACTGCCTGCAGCCATCGGGTCAACCCAGGGCAGGTGAGCGCTGGCCCAGGGCTTTTGCTGGAGGTGGGAAATGTGGATCCATTGCTTTGCCTTGTTATGCCCTCACTCAAGCCACCCTAGTTTTATATGTTTTTCCATGTTTTCTGATGATGAGGCACCTCTTGGAGATTTATTTATTTCAACTCCCCTTCCTGGGGGGAGGAGATAGGTTTGAAACTCTTCCGGAGTGCTGCTGGGGCAGAGATGCTGAGATTATTGTTCCTGGGGGGGGAATTTTGCTATACTTTCCCACAAATTCCTGGCTTCTTGGGTAGGCTGGGGTTAAATGATATGGTGCCTGTGTTAATTCCTGCTTGTGCTCCTCCACCACATGGGACAAATCCCCTTCCTGCCTTGATGCACCATAACAAGTTCTACCACAGACATCTGCTGCTACCTCAGTTTTCTTAACCTTAATTATATTTTTAATGTTATTTCTCTAGTATTGCAGGATGAATTTTATACTTTTTTTACTATGAATTTTGTAAATCCTAGGTTTATAGCTTATTCTCCCAGCTTTGCATTAGAATTTCAGGTGTAAGCAGCACAGGGGGGTGGTGGTGGTCTTCTGGCCACAAGTGTGGCATGATGTGGGTCTTCCTCTCTTCCTCTGCTTGCCAAGCATCTTTCTGGAGGGAAAATCCCTCCCTGATATCCAGAGGTGAAGCCCATAGTGGTTTGAGAATGCTCTCCTGCTTGTATCTGTCCCAGGTGGGAAGAGGAGAAGATGGGCGATGGGATAAAGTGGAAGCAGCTGGAGCACAAAGGCCCCTACTTTGCCCCGCTCTATGAGCCGTTACCTGAAAATGTCCAGTTTTATTATGACGGTACGTCCATGGTGGCTGGGGTAGGGGGTTGATTGTCTGGAGGTGGTGGATGATCTAAGAGGTGGTACAACTCTCATGGGAATGATCCCTAACTCGAGCAGACGGTCAAAATCTACCTCTTTATCCCTGAGCATTGAGATGATACCAAGGTATTTGGCCCTTATTATAGGTTCTTGAGAGTTATTTAGTTCTAATGAGCCCGTGCTGCTTGCAGACGTGTGTGTCCTGCACGTCTCTGCTGTGTAGAGCATCCTGGGCTAAGGTGCTTGTGTTGCAAGAGCTGTGCCCCAGCTGAAGGTGCAAGGATGTGGGGCTGCAGTTCCACTGCACCCTGAATTTCACTAGGGGAACAAGATGTCTTGATGCCTTTGCTCAAAGTCTTCATGCACCTTCTGCACTCTATTGTGAAGCTGATGCCCTACAGCAATTCGGTGGGGTCTGGGTCCTCCTCAGCCCCTAATGAGGCTGATGGAGCTCATGAAAACCCAGATGGTTTCTATGTATTTCCTTTTTTGACAGAGATGGTGGTGGGGAGAAAAGATGACTTGTGGAAAGGAGATGCTAAGCAATGTTCACGTCACCAGAGGGCAGTGCTAGGACATCGATAGGGCTGTCAGTTGTTTGGGTTTTGCTTTGGCGTTTCCTCTCTGTGAAGAGAAGCCTTCCAGCTATTTGTGATTTTTTTTTCTTTTTCTTTTCTTTTTTTTTTTTCTGAATGGAGCTGAACATTCTTTTATCCTTCTGGGGCTTCACATCCCTGTATCCTGGACAGCCATGGACACACCTGGCCCTTGACACAGAGATGCAGTGAATTGCATACATCTTAATTGAGAGACTTTGGTACAGGGCCTAGAGTGACATTAGCTTGTTTGCTGGAAAGCATAGCAGTTCCAGGATTAAAGCAATAATCTCAAGGAGCAGGAGACAGTGATCCAGGACACGTAGGCTGCTGGTGCCACAGGCTTGGGCTGATCTGCTATGAACCTGTGACCTGCTGTGTCCAGCAACTGAACTGGATATCAGGAATCCCCAGAATTGAAGCTGCAGGCACAAAGCAGCATTGAACTGTTCCCTGGAGCTCTGTGGGGTGCTTCTCCTGCAGCTTACTTAAGAAACTGTTAGTTCTTAAATAGCTTTCCTAGGAAGACCCAAAATGTTCCTGTGAAATAAGGGAAAACGCTGCCCATGTGGACTTCTTTCCTCCAAAGAGGTGGTGGCTTTGCTGCCTCCAAGACATGAATGAAGGCTCAGAGGAGGCTCTCCTAGATGTTGCTCTAACACAGGTTTATTTTTTTGAGCTTTCTGTGATCACTCTGTCACGTGTTTTGAGATGAAATATCTCCAAGTGTGATCCTGGCAGCTTCAGCACAATTGTGTTCCTGGAGAAATGGGAGAAACCAGGGTTGGGAAATGAGCCTTTCTACATTGTCCTTTATCACCAGCATGACAGCAAACTTGGGGCTTGGCGTCACATGGAAGCTGCTGAAAGTCCCATGGCTCAGTGACCTTAACATAAATCAGGATTTCCACTTGCCTGGGAAAGAAAATGAAGTGTGTGATTGCAGATCAACTGTGGCAGCATCTGGCTGTGCTGCACGCTTGAGGTATTGATCCATTAGTGAGGTGTTGTACATGGTGCCAGGTCCCTGTTTCAGCACCCCAAACTTGATGTGCCAAGTGTAGAGTCTTGCCAAATGATTGCTCTGGGCTTCGGTGCTGGGCTGTTGCATAACTGATGTTAATGCATTTGTTCTCTTCCTAGGTAAACCTCTGAAGCTGAGCTTGGCCACTGAGGAAATTGCCACCTTCTATGCAAAAATGTTAGATCATGAGTACACAACCAAGGAGATTTTCCAGAGCAACTTCTTCAATGACTGGAGGAAGGTATCTTTCCTATAAGGCCTTGCTTGATGCCAGTATTAACAGTTAAAAGTGGGGTTCCCTGTGGGCTGTGGTGGATGGTCAGGGGTACAGGAGGAAGGGGATAATTCTCTATGGCTTAAGTTTTTATTTCCTCAGTAAGCTTGGGTCAGGGCTTTCTGTTTGCAGCATCCTTGAGTGTTTGATGTTGGCGCTTAGTATCAACCTCAGGTTTAGTGGCACAATGCCAAAGAGCAGGCACTGGTCTTGCAAGCAGGCCAATGAGCTCCTTGAAGTGCATGCTCCTGTGCATCCCTCTAAAGAATTAACCTTTCCAGTTACCACCTGAAACATGTTTTGCCTCCTTGCTTTACCCAGCTCCTCTGATCTCTCTTGATCAGGAAATGACCCCAGAGGAGCGGAAGACAATCAAACGCCTGGACAAGTGCGACTTCAAGGAGATTCACAAGTACTTTGTGGACAAAAGTGAGGCACGGAAAGCTCTCTCGAAAGAGGAGAAGCAGGTGAGGCTCCTATTGGTGTCTGGACCTAGTTTGATGTATTTTGGGTTCAATTCAGGTGTTTCCATTCTTCATTCGCCTTTAAACCTCTTGGCCTTTGAAACTCTTTGGCCTTTGCAGCAGTTCCTGCCTCTTCATCACACAACTCTCCATTAAGTTCGCCTGTAGATACCATGCATTTCCTGGCTTTCTATGGCTTGGAGGATGTTGCACCTTGCTAAGGTGATGGTGATACCCAGCCTCTGTTCCCTTGACATCTCAGGCTGGCACAGGATCTGCCTTGGCCTGAGCCTTTGCAAAGTGACTGGAGACACTCCATGTGTTGCAAGTGAGCTTAGACGTGTGCTAGTTGTCTTCCAGCCTTTCAAAGCTCTGTCTTTCTTGGCTTGCTTCCTGCTGGGAGAAGAGGGTGATAATGAGCAGGCAGAAGTCATGGGGTTTCAGCTCTGTCCTGTGGGGTGGTGGTGGGATGGTACTCATTTCAGAAGTTGAAAGAGGAGGCAGATAAGATACAGGAGGAATATGGATACTGCATCCTCGATGGGCACCGAGAGAAAATAGGAAACTTCAAAACTGAACCGCCGGGACTGTTTCGTGGCCGTGGTGATCACCCCAAAATGGGGATGCTAAAGAAGAGGATCATGCCTGAAGATGTAGTCATCAACTGCAGCAAGTGAGTCACTCCTCTTTTCTGTCAAATTCGATTTTGGATACTTCTCTCACGGTCAGGCCTGACTTGGATGCACACTAGCTGGGGAAGGCAGTCAATAGCCCTCACCTTTTAGCAGTGCTGGGACCTTCTGGTAGACATGAACTGCATATACTGAAGTGCTCTTACATCCTCTCCCATGCCCTCCTTCAAAATGAGGGATTCCTCATCAATTTACAGGTCTCTTGTGTTGTCTAGAAGCATTAGGCTTTTCCTTCCTTCCTGGAAGGAGCAAAAACAGCAGTAAATTGGGTGTGTTTTTTCTGCATTTGAGTTGTGTAAGTTGGATTGATCTTAATTCCCCCTAAGGGAAGACAGTATGGTCTCAGCTCAAAACATGTCCTCACTCCCACTCAGCCTAGCAAGTCCACCAGTAGTTCTTTGCACCCAAAGTGCAAAGTTCTGATTGTGTTATGGAATAATTCTGGGGGGGTCTGTTTCTTCTGGAAGCAATGCTGGAACTTCTTGACCTTTGCCCACAGTGAACAAGCTGTTAAGCTGTTGACTTGTTCTCTCTCTGTAGCGCCTCTTGTACTTAGCACTGTTGTAATCCTGTTATTGCCTGCAGGGACTCCAAGATCCCCGAGCCGCCAGCAGGACACAAGTGGAAGGAGGTGCGCTTTGACAACACAGTCACCTGGCTGGCGTCATGGACTGAAAACATCCAGAACACGTTGAAGTACATCATGCTGAACCCTAGCTCCAAGCTGAAGGTCAGAGTGATGCTGCTGTTCAGGCAAGAGCTGTTACCTTTTTGAGATGCTGACCTTGCCTGTGCCATGCTGCTCCTCTGCCCTTTTGGGAAAGGCAGCTAAAAACAGGGTAGGAAGTGGAAATGCCAATGGTTTCCATCTTGGGTCCTGCTGAAGAATCCCAAGTCAGTATTTGCTGACCCTAATATCTGCCCTGTTGTCCAGCTCTTGTTATTGCAGCCTCTTCCTTCTCATTTCCAAGGTCAGATAAAGGTGGAAACCATGTAGAAGTGCTTCCAGAAAACACATCGTGTCAGTCCGTGGTGGTGTTGTCCAAACAGCAGTGTTTGTGGACATAGAACACTTGGCTCCTTGCTGGCTATGTGCTGGCATGAGCAGTTGAAGGGCACCTCTGGTCAGAGAAGCTCAAACTCTTGACCATCCTGGGTCTGGAGCAGCCAGTAGAGGGCATAGAAACTCCAAATAAGCTTTATTTACTCTAATATTTCCAGGTCATGAATTAAAAAAGCTAAATAAACAGTGGTTATTGAGCAATACTTATCCTCTGGAAAGGGTCATGTCCTCAGGAAAGTGTCTAGCTTGAGGGGATGGACAGAAGATGAAGTGCTAAGGGTAAATATCTCTGCTTTCCTTCTCAGGGGGAGAAGGACTGGCATAAATATGAGATAGCTCGTCGCTTAAAAGATGTTGTACACAAAATCCGTGCTCAGTACCAAGCTGATTGGAAGTCCAAGGAGATGAAAACGCGTCAAAGAGCAGTAGCCCTCTACTTCATCGATAAGGTACCTGTGCCCTCAGCCTAGCCCGCAAATATCTTGTATATGTTGGATTTGGGACTTAACTTATATCCTTACATTTATTTTTCTTGCCAACGATATTAGTTTGGGTTTGGTTCAGGTGAGGAAGCTGCCTGTAATCATGGATCCTGAGTCATAGATCATGGGTGTCTCCAGCTTTCTGCTGATCCTCGAGAGGCTCCTGGTTGCGTGGTAATGTGTAGATTTTGCAGGTCCTTGTGCTCTACCAGAATCCATGTATTTCAGTGATGACAATGTTCCTACTTTGAGGAAAGATTTTAGGGTTTCTTGGAACAAGAATAACCTGCTGCTGGGTTCAGTCCTTGCTTGGTGGAAGTCCACATGTGCTCATTCAGTGTGGCACTCTCTTGAGTGAGCTTCTTTCCCTCGTGTTCTGCTTGAAGGTCTCTCCATAGATACCCCATAAGAGTGGAAAAGGGGCTTGAGGCAGATGTCTCCTGTGTGCTTTTCTAGTTGGCCCTACGAGCTGGCAATGAGAAGGAGGAAGGGGAGACAGCGGACACGGTTGGCTGCTGCTCCCTGCGTGTTGAGCACATTAAACTGTACCGCAATCTGGATGGGCAGGAGCACGTGGTGGAATTCGACTTCCTCGGGAAAGACTCAATCCGCTACTACAACAAAGTGTCAGTGGAGAAGCCGGTGAGTGAGGCAGAGGTGGAGGCAACGGTGGGTGCAGTGATGTGGTTGGTGATTAGCTGGGTGGCTTGATTCAGTTGTTGGTGTGTCAGTCCCAAATCTGCATCTGATCCACATGGTGATGTCTCCTGCGTGTTAATCGTATGGTAAGAGCAAGTGTCTCAGATGCGAGGATGATGGATGACAAGGAACAGTATATGGCTTGCCTGGCCCGGAGGAGGCGTGATAATTCAGAGTATGGGTCTGAAGGCTGTTTGTTTTTTAGCTCACAAGTCTTTTAACATAGGACTTGCAAGCAACTGTGGCAGCAGGAACCATGAGAGAAAAGCTGTCTTCAGTTGACTGGTGGGAATTAGGCCTTAAAGTGTACCCATTGGATAGATAATCCTAATACTGTTTTTAGGGCAGCTGCAATGCTAGGGATAACAGCAATGGGGAAAATAGAGATTGTGGCACTACTGTTGACTGGAGGTCCCAGTAGAAGCTCTTCATATTGAGCAGATAAACAGTATAGTGTGATGCATATTCCACAAGTAGAATCTGTGCCCAACTGAGTTGGGATGGGGCACAAAGAGGCAGATGGAGATGGAAGTATCTGTTAGTAACTTGCTCTTTGTACCTAAACTGGACATTCCTTTCCTCCTAGGTCTTCAAGAACCTGCAGCTTTTCATGAAGAACAAGGACCCAGGAGATGACCTCTTTGACAGGCTCAATGTGAGTTGCAGCCTCTCTGCTTCTGCAGCAGTGTTGACAGCCTGGAGAGAATGTAAATGGCCTTGTGACATGTCAGTCTATCCCGTGGGTTTCCTGATTCGTCTCAGTATCTTTTGCTTTGATTTTTAACTCCTCTGGAGAGGCTGTTGCTGATGCTTGAATCCCTTGGTAGATGCTGTGATATCTTCAGTGCTCTTGCTGCATTGGTGGTATCTCTGCTGTCTATCAGGCTCAGTTGCCTGCACTGAGAATAACTGACTGCTGAGGAGAGGCTTTTTGCTCATTTTCACTTTTATCTCATTTGCCTGCCCTAATATATGTTTTTGGGATGCTTCTGGTGTTGTCACACCTCAGACTTTGATGCTTTGGCACCTCTCTGTGGTTCAGCAGAGGCATGAGAGGCTGCCTTGAGGCTGAGGCTGCAGGAGAGATGTAACGCAGACTTTTCTCCCTCATGAGCCACTCCCGTTGCAAAGACTTATTCCATTCTCTTTCCCACTGTGGGATAAAGGGTGCTGCACACGTCCCCCGTAGTGTCACCTGTCTGCCTACATCCTCTATAAAGCCACTTGCTCACCTTACTTCTAGAGAAGCTGCTGCTCTCTGTTTACATGGGCTTTCTCTATGGAGATCTTTCTGGGTAAAAAGGCTTTTCCCTAGAGCCTAAATGACATGGTTTTAGCATCTTCTGTTTCTGATCTGATGGCAGCCCTCTATGCTCTGTAGTGCGAAAGAATTGGATGTGATATATGTGAGATGTGGCATGGGATTTGAGTTGTCCTCTTGGGCATGCATCTGTGTGTGTCTTATTTTTTCTTTGCTTGTTTACTTTTCAGAGATGTTTCCCGTGAATTTTGGTGGAATATGTGCCAATTTACTGTATATAAGGGCTTGACTCAACACCTTAGGTAGATCTGCAAACTACAGCATCTTTATTTGCTTGTTGAAAAGTCTGGAAAAAGCTGAGCTCTGTTTTCCTGGCTTCTGCTTGTTCTCTTCCTTACTTTCTTCCCTGCTTTGCCCTCTCCTCCCTCCTCCAGACATCAATCTTGAACAGACATCTCCAGTCTTTGATGAAAGGCTTGTCTGCCAAGGTGTTCAGGACCTACAACGCCTCCATCACCCTGCAGGAACAGCTCAAAGCGCTCACTAACGGTAAGTCGATCTCTGCAGTATCACGGACTGTCTCGTGGGAGGCAGTGGGCTTGGAGACTTCTGTTCTTCGCCTTGGGGTCCCCAGAAGCACCCGCTCCTCTGCGGCAGATGGTTTACCACATTATGCCCTCTGTTAAGTTGCATACTACTTAAAGCATTTCATGAACCATCCGAAGTGAGAAATCATGATGTCTAGTCTATGATAGTCCTACTAACATACCAAGACAGGATTTTTTTTTTACTTTCTTTGTACAGTTGGTGGGTTGCATTATTTTTGGATTTCTCTGATATCCAAGCAATGAGGTGCAATTTGATACTTCTCAAAATAGGTCCCCAATGTCCTTTGACTTCTCTTGAGACATTGGTAATACTGGTTGGAGAAAGGATGAGGAAGGTCAATGACTCAGTGCTGTTTTAGTCTGTTTTGTCCTTTTCCTGGTCTCCCAGAGCGGGGTCATAGTGATGCTTTAGTTCCTTTCCAGCTGAAGACAATGTTGCTGGAAAGCTCCTCTCCTACAACCGAGCTAACCGAGCTGTGGCCATCCTCTGCAACCATCAGAGATCCACGCCAAAAACCTTTGAGAAGTCAATGCAAATCCTCCAGACCAAGGTGACAGATTAAACTCTGAGACTCCTTCCACCTTTTAGGGTTTTGTTTTGGTGTTTTTTTTGAAGGGAGGGGGTGGGGTAAAGAGGGAGAGTTATTAATCTGATGCCTAAAGAGATAACATTCATCAAGAGTGGTGGGGAATGAATCAGAACTAGAGGCTGCTGTGAACCATTATAGGGGTGACATCAACCTACGAGCTGTAAGGGATATGTGGAAGCTTGAACGGAGGATAAAGCACATTTGACAGAGCGTATCATCTGTTGGTGTATTCAGATCAAGCTGGATGCCACTTGGGATGATGCAGTTCAACATAGTTGGATCCAGTAGCAGGGGCTTGGGTGCTCTCATGGCTGTTTGCAAGGCCAAGTGAAATGCAGCCACCCTGCTCTGGAATCACCTCAAGCGCTTGTCACAAGTAATAGTTTGCTCAAGAATAACAGCAGTGCTGCAAGTGTTTCTGGCATCAGTGCTTTGAGGTTATTTTGCAAGATGCCAAGAAATGCTTGATCAATAGCAGGTGCTTTGAGTGTTGGATGCTGGGACTGGATGAAGGTCTGGGAAATTGATGAGCAAATGTGATAAAAATGGAGAGGCAACTGAAATCTCTGGAGGACAGAAGCATTGGATCACTTTGTATTTGTCTTTTCAGATTGATGAGAAGAAGCAACAGCTGAAGGAAGCCCAGCTAGAACTGAAGAAAGCTGAAGACGAGCTTAAAGAGAAAAATGATGACAAAACAGAGGCGTAAGTGGCTCTTAATCCTCATTTGCAGAGATGCTTGCAAGTCTGGGACCTGTAGGTGGCACAGTCGGATTCAATACCCTCCATACAGCCCATTAGAATGGGAATGCCCATGATTGGGTCCTGGGTGCCTCTCATTCCAAGCAGGTGGGTGGAAGTCTTGAGGGTTCCCTGCAAGAACAGGCTTGCAAAGAGCTCCTTGAGTGGAAGGGGGGTTCTTTGTGCTAGGGCACACTTCTGCTCACACTTCTGCTCGCACTTCAACCCAGAGCTGCTGGCTTGGAGCTGCCCTGTAAATGCAGTTATGTAAAGGATGCCTGGACGAGGATCAGAGCTAGGAATGCATGCACTGGCACGATTTTCCATGAGGGATGTGGTGTTGGATCTTCTCATATCTGTCATACCTGACATCTGCAGCAACTGTTGTGTGGAGCCTGCCCAATGTGAGTTTGTGCTCAGAGACAAGAGGTAGCAGGAGCAAAGAAATGATGCTCACTTTTGTGTTCTGCTGAGGGGCTTGTTTCCTGTTATGTCTTATGTAGGAGAAAGGCAGAGGCCGTTGTTGGTCATGGAGCTGTATTTGAAGAGATGGTCTACATTGGTGTAGGTTTTTGTGTTAGTCTGTCTTTGATGCTAATAATGTGTTTTTCTGAAAATAAAGTCTCTGCATTTCACCTGTGCTCTCCTCTCTTACCTTTGATGCGCTGTTTGTGTTGCTCTTCCACCCTCAGCAATGTGCAGAAGAAGAAGAAGCTGTTGGAGAGACTAGCAGAGCAACTAGCCAAGCTGGAAGTCCAGGCCACAGACAAAGAGGAGAACAAGCAGATCGCTTTGGGCACATCCAAGTTGAATTACCTGGACCCCAGGATTACCATAGCCTGGTAGGTCTTGGGTATGCTCTGAGGCAGATGCTCCTGTAGAGATGTCCTGGTCTGCAGACAGACCACCAAAAGGGGAGCTCTGGATGACACTGAGGCAACCCTTGATTTCTCTCTGCTGCCTTGTGCTCCTGTGCAGGTGCAAGAAATTTGGGGTGCCCATTGAGAAGGTCTACAACAAGACACAGAGGGAGAAGTTTGCCTGGGCCATTGACATGACTGATGAAGATTTTGAGTTCTGAAGAGAAGGGGAGTGGAAAAAGCCTTTCTATTACCTCATGCTCTTTTGGTGCTGTTGGAATAATTTATGGGCTGAAGCAATTGTCAGGTAGTGGGGGAAATGTGTAAAGGGACAGTTTGATACAGGTATTTTTGTGCTGGTTTTGTATAAAAAAGAAAAACATGTGCTTTCTAGTTGAAACAAGTACCACTGACTTGTGACACTTACCCTGACTGCGAGAACCTTAATATGAACTTTATGAACTTTTAGCTTTTCTGGTTAGAGCTGCCAAGTGTTCTGTATCTTTTTTCATCCTCCTGCAGAGTTAGGGAAGAAGATTGAATGTGAGCCTTGACTATGAAGATAAACAAGATAAAATGATCTAATCATCTGGTGCTCTGGTCAGATCTCGTGATCTGAAAATGATCTAATGATCTGGCCTTTTAAGACTCTCAGGCAGCATTAGGCAATGACAGCACTAAAAGAGGTGGCTGCAGGATGAGGCCTGATCCTGGGGCTAGATGCCCAGGAGAAAGGGGATTCTCTGGGTTTTGCAGGATGTTTTGTGCCTTTTTATCTTCAGAGGGGGAGAAAATTGCATAAGCTTTTTTTACAGACACAATGGAAAAGTTTCCTGATGCAGAACTAATGTTACTGCAATAGGAGAAGCTTTGTCCAAGGAAGCTGCTTTCATGGCAGAGACCTGAAAATCACCTTGGAGTGAGCAAAGTGCACTTTAACCACCCCTACGTGGTGTAGAGACTTGGCCTATCCACACAGGCTACAAAAGAAGATCTTGTTTTTCTTCCCCCTACTTATTTCCATAGGTTTGACTTGGCTCCCTGAATTCATACAATGATACTTGTAGAGATAAATCTTTGAGCCAAGGATTTCACTCTGGGAAAGGATGATGCTGGCAGGCCTTAAACAGATGATAGAGGGATGTGGGAATGCCGGAAGCAGCTCTCAGTACCACTTATCACAGTGAGAGCCAACTGTGGGATGATGACAGCTTCATCACCAAGCATCTCCTATGGGTCCTGTTCCACAGGGATATGCCTGGTCCTGGGCACAGGGCGATAACGTAGGGAAAGAGAGGGTAAAGTGATGGTGCTTGCTGTGCAACTGGCTGCTTCTCAGTAGAAACAGTGAGATTGTGTAGCTGGCACACAACAGCAAACCTGCGGGCGTAAGTGAGCCGTTGCAAGGATGTCTTGCAGCTTGTTTGGGTAGCTGCAGTCCACGTTTACGGATGCTTTCTCTTGTGTTCAGGTTATTGCAATTTATATTTTGTAATTAAAATGAGTTTCATTAAAACTGGAAATAATTTTTCTGAATGCTGGTGACAGATGTCTGAGGCTATTTTTTTCCCCCTCCCCCTTTCTCCCCCAGTTCATCCAAGACTGTTTTAATGAGAGGGATAGAAGACCAGAATGGGGCATGATAATGTATAGCATGGACCTGTGTGCTTATAGTTTTCTGCAGGAAATTAGCATCTATAGGAAATCCTTTGCTCTTGAGCAAAGAGCCTTTCCCCAGACCCCAAACACAGTTGTGGTTGGCTCATAAGGCCCTTAAGGAGCTGTATGCAAAACTAAGCCACCACAATTAAACAGCTGTGTGTTAGCTGAGCCATGATAAATGTGAGCTAAAAATGCTCAGGTGAAGCCAATTCAGTTTTATCTCATGTCAGCAGTGGGTTTGGAGCATGCAAATGTTGGCTTTTCTGCCACTTGACTGTGATTATGGCATGGTAATAACTGGACTCTCCAAGCTCCAAAAGCTCATGTAGAGTGTATCAAGGCCTCTGCATCCTAAAGCAGGAACTAAACTTATTCTAAATGCTGACAAAAGTGAAAGATGTCTTGTTTGTTTGTTTTGTTTTCTCCTATGTTTTATAAGAGCCTGCCTGCCAAAGCCAGGTGAGTTATCAACTGTAAAAATAAAAGGCAGGACCTGCTAAACATGCTGGCCCATACATTGGGTTTCTTCCTGTCAACCCAGGGGAACCAGTTTGGTCCCAATGCATTACAAATGGTTTTTCTGCCCACCCTGCCAAATGCAGCCTCATGCTGTTGCCCTCCAGAGCTGTTTGAGCTGTAGGAGGAAGAACTGTTTTTAGGTGAATAATCACTGTTAACTGTGTCATTCTGAGCAAGGATGGGGAAGCTGATAATTCCATGGGAGCCTCCAGAGAAACCCAGATCCTCTTTTCCAGGAAACCACTGCTGGGAGCAGAATAAAGCAGAGCAAGATGCAAGTGAGCACAGCCTTTGCGGATGTTTGCATTGAACCAATGTGTGTGTATATAGATAGATATGTAGTTGAGTGTTTTCTAGCAAAAAAAGTCGCACAAGCCCCATGTGAGAGAAAGGAGCAGCTGTGGTAGGAACAGCTGCAGGTGTTTGAACAGCTGGTGAGCAAGAAGTAGAAAAGTTGCTCTGAAAACAAGTTGTGTTTGCAGTCTTGGAGGGAAATCACATAGTTTGGTCCTTGGCCTCTTCTACATGGGATGCAGTGTTGCAATCCTCTAAGACACCTGGCTGCAGATCTGTGGGCTTAGCCATAGGGAATATCTGTGTGACTGACTGTTGCCCCATGTGTCCTGTTCAGCCCCGGTGCAGCTCTCGCTTCTGCTTCTCCTCCTGCTTGTTTGCAAACTCGCCCAAAGTGACAGGGTTTTGAACTCGTGAGCAATGTAAGGAGCCATGCAGTGATGGTGAAGCCTCAGCTTGTTGCTCTGCTGTATCTGGAGAAAAGTGATTAAAAGAGAAGCTAAGTTTTTACTGGTATGGTGGGCTTCACATGCAGGCGCACTGGGGCTAAGGGCTGTAAAGACCTGCTGGCATCAAACAATGATTCCTGGCTTTGTGAAGAACTTTAAAGAATCAGGGTTTCTCCTGAGGGTTTTCCCTTGGACTGGGTTCCCATACCAAGTGCTTCCATAGGGCTGGACTATCTCTATCAAAAACTTTAATGAAATCAAGATAAGAAATCCATGTGTACGGGAGGTACAAAGCAAAAGCAAGGTGCAGAGGTCATGTTCTTATCCAACTATGAGATACTCCCAAACAGTATCTGATAAGGTGTTAAGGAGATATTCTGATAAGCATGTGGAATCATAAGCAAGTTAGATGCAGGTTGGAGAAGCTGAGCTCCTGCCCACAACATCACAACAATGCAATGCAGTGATGTATGATGTGGCCTCATTCCTTATCTTCCACAGTGATATCCCACCACTTGGGACCTTCTGGAGCAGGAATGTGTCCTCATCACTGAAGCCTAGTGTAGGCCCCTCTCTTCTCCCATGCTATGCTTTGGAGTTATTAGGTGATGCTAAGTAGCACTGTCACATCCAGAGATACTTAGTTTCCCCAGGCCCTTCCAGAGACCTTTTAAACCCTTCATCTGAAATGAGGTCTTTTCAGTAAGTACATAAAAGCATATCTTCTAGAGCCTAACACTTTAGGCAGTCCAAAGTGAAACTACCATCTGTTTTTCTATTTTCCTTTAAAATCATTTTTCTCTCTCTTCTTTATTTTCTTTCCTTTTAAAGTAGAACAAGAAAGCATAAAAGAAGATGTGGTCTCAGAAAAAAACAGAAGTGATTTCCTGTCCTGCAACTTCTGGGGGTTGCTAAAGGAGAAGACCTCAAGGTCAACTTACCAGGGATGGAGCTGACTATCCACACTGATACTCAGAGCCACTCTAGTTTCATAATGATGGTCAAAAACATTCTGGTGATCAAAATGCCCATCTCCCTGCCTGCAGGCTGTGGAAGTCCCATATTGTGTGACAGCAGATGGGCAAAACTGATACTATAGCAGCTGGGTAAGATAAACCTCCTCGTGGTAGAAGGTAGGCAGTAGGGAGAAGTTATTCAGGTTTTGCTTTGACATCTGGTTACATGCGTCCAGCTCCATCCCAAGCTTCTGCCCCAGCATCACTGAAGTTGTGAGGGATCTGTGAAGGCCTCTGGTCCAACCTCCAGGTCAAAATGGGGCCAACTGATCAGCTTGCTCCGGGCCTTCTGCAGCCAAATTTAGATATTTACAAGGTGGGAGACTCCACACTGTTTTGGTGTTAACCACTACCTTGTTGAAACTTTTCTTGTAACTTAGTGGAATTTCCCTTCCTGCATCTTGTAACTTGCTGCTTGTCCTTCTGTTGTGCACCTCTGAGAAGGGTTTGGCTCTGCTATCTCTCACCGAACACCTGCCTGCTCAGCTGCAGAGGGGTATGTGGTGAATTTTGTGGCTGAAGGACATAGGAACATTTTGATCTACAGCTTAAGGGACTGCCAGCTGTATTTTCTCCATAAATAGGCTGCCATGGGAAGATGTTGAGGCTCTGGTAGATGACTATGTCTCTGCTTTCCAGCATGTCACTCCTAAACCAGCATCCTGGAGAGAAGGGAAGATGAAGACCACATTTTGCAGAAATGAAAGTCCATGGTCCAAGCACTGCTCATCAGAAACTTTGCTGCTTTCTCCTAAAGGAAGAGCCAATTTCTTGATATACAGCTAAAGGGTTATTGATTACTGTTGCCAAAAACTGGAACCTGTTTGATAAAGCTGCTTCCCAAACATAATTTTCCTTGATGGTCCAGCCTGCTAGCAGGATGGACACCACGGCACCCCAGTACAGCAAAGCTGTGTTAGATGGAGAGAAGGCCTGGCAGGTGATGCAAGGAAGGGATCTCAATCAAGGCAGCTTGGCTGCTCTTTCATTTGCTCAATGGCAGGGCCTCTGCTCACCCGTGGGCGGTTGAGAGAGATGGATTTTTGGTTGATTCATCTTAATGGGTGTAGAGAGGGAAGTGGGTATGCTAAAACTCCTCAGTGATGAGCAATTGCTGTTGAACTGTTTCTTATGCCTTGCATCTGTTCCTTGGTGAGCTATCAGATTAGGAGGAAACAAAACAGCTGTAGTCTGGCAGACATGTGAGAGGTGGGAAATCCCTGAGGGGATGGGATGAAGAGAATTGTGAAAAGTTTCCAGAAAGGTGTTTCTTTTTTTTTTTTCCTTTCATTTCTTCCTTTACAGCCTGAGATGGTAAAATTAAAAAAAAAAAAAANAAAAAAGGAGAAAAGGGGATTATTTTGTCAGTATGAGTCCTGAGAGAAAAAAAAAAAAAAAAGGCTAGAACTGTATTAACAGTATTCACAGAAAGCAACTAATGGAGTATCCAGTTCAGCAAGAGAGGAGATCATGGCTGTGGTTTGGCACAAGTAAAACATGTGCTTAAGAAGCTCCCTTTGTTTTCTTAGTTGTCCTCGGCATCCGTCAATTGTCAACCAAATCTGGACTGCTCTAAGGAAAGCTTAAATTGAACAGTGGTTAGCACTATCTAGGCTTTTGTACAGGCTGTACTGTTGATGCCAATAAGACAAAGGAAAGCAAGTGATTAACCTACAAGAAGTTGGAGCCCTGTGATAAGGTGATGGATGGTCTAACACGGGGAAGAGTTAAAAACACAAGGATAAAACTCCAGGGCATTAGCTTTGTGTGTTGTGAGGGAGACCTCATACTTGCTGAGGGCAGCTGTGGGAATGGGACCAACTTCAAGACCAAAGTCCTCTACTGTGAGTCAATCATACACAGCTTGGTGCTTCCTGAGGCTTTTTTATTGTCATAACTGTGATGTTTTGGGCTGGCTGAGCACAATATGTTATTGAAAATTGCAGGAAAAACTAATCAAGAGCTTAGTTCAACCAAACCCAACCCAAGCTTTGAGAATAACTTCTCCAGAACTTAATCCTGTGGCTCTACAAGCTGGGGCATAAGGGATTTCAGTAAATTGCTTAATATTCTCAAATCAATCCTGGATTAGACTGCAATTATGAGTGATCAGCATGACTCAGAAATAAGCCTTTGAATTTCTGCCTTCAGAGCTTCAAGAAGGCTCCTAAATTACTTCTACAGCCATGAGCTTAAGAAAGAGGCAACAAGAAAGACCTTCTACAAGAATATAAGCAACAAAAGAAAGGCTGGGGAAAATGCAGGCCTGCTACTAAATGCGACATGGCCCCTGGCTAAAAAAGGCCCAGAAAAGGCCTAGGTACTGAATTTCTTTTCCTGTCCTTTTGATTGAGACTGGCCTTCAGTAATCCTAGGCCCCTGTGACCAGAAGGGAAGTGTGAAACAAGGAAGACTTGCTCTTGGTAGAGGAGGATCAGGCTAGGGAACAGTTAAACTAGACATAAACAAGACCATGGGACCTGAGAGGATGCACCTGTGAGCGTTGAAGGAGGTCTTTTAT